CGAAAACAAAATTTTTAGGCTGAAACCAGGGGCACAGAATAGGAAGTTATACCATAGAATATACTATAGAATAGGAAGTTAGGGATGTATAACTTCCTATTCTGTGCCAGGGGGGTGAAGTACATCGTCGAAACCTTAGGATCGCGGTTGGGACAGTGGTAGTTGCCATGAATCTAGGGACCAGTAGTCATGGCAATGGCGTCAGATCCACCATGTTTTTGCGGACACTTTTTTATCCCGAGCAGGTCCTCCAGTAATATAGTATAGCTCAGTGGGGATTGCGGGCGCGCGAGCAAAAAGGCGAGGGAAGAAATAAATAAAAGGGATGAAACAAATATCACGTGACTTTTTAAAATGCTTCTAGACTATCCGTTTAAGCTTTTTGTGGTATTTTTAAGGCTCAGTAGATGTTCTCTTACATGAGCAAGCCTAGTAATTACCAAAAAAGCACTGATCAATGTAATTTATATGATTTATAACAGCGGACATTCTTAGCCGTTTTCGCGATATGTGTTCCATAAGTAGCCTGTTCTCGTGACGTATGACTAAATAATAATAAAACTAAATAATGCAAAAAAACTCGTTTGTCGCTACATTTAAACATTTCATATTAGCCGGTATAGCTAAACATTGTTTATTTTCATTAATTAAGCGCGTAGGCGTTGTTGGAGTTGGCAGGAGGCATTTTGTACGATGGCCGAGAAGGGCCATGACTGTAAACACTCGCCGTTTTTTACCATTACACTCGTCGTTTTTTTCCCTTCAAAATTACACTCGCCGTTTTTTTCTTCAGAATTACACGCGACGTTTTTTTCAGTTATAATGCAATAATTACACGCGACGTTTTTTCAATGCAATATTTACACGCGACGTTTTTTTTAATGCAATAATTACACGCGACTTTTTTTCAATGTAATAATTAATACACGCGACGTTTTTTCCAAAAATTACACTCGCCGTTTTTTTAGAGTTACGTTTTAAACTGAGGGTTTCAATTCGGACGAAGATGGGAGCAATCATTTAAGGTTATGTGTGTTTCATCAAAACTAAAAATCATGTAAATACATGCAGTACAAAATTTCACTTTTCAGTCAATTAATTATGATATATACTGTAATGCATTGTTTTCTTTTGTGTTTTCCAAACTATATAAACAAAAGCGCTAGCATTGTGTGTTTTGACTAAAACAATGCATTAATCATTGATTCATAACCGACTGAAAGTTAAATTTCATGGCCAGAAATCACGGACATGATCGATTCTACCTTACTAACTTTGCATATCCGATTTAATACATAACCCGTTGAAATATGGCTTCGATAGTAAACAGTTGATTCTATTACGCGATGCTTCAAATCGCAAAATCAGAGATTACTGGTAGTCCTTTGCAGTTTGCCTCGATTGCTGGTTGCAGAACACGGTATATCGTGTAGTGTTTGCCTTGCCTGGTGTAAGTTACTGATTATTCTGCATTTTTGTTTGTTTCTAGTGGCTATAGACAGTGCGGTATCCTTTATATATATAAAATATAAATAGACAAATGCCGTACAAACTAACCTCTGTACAAAAACTGAAAATGCAGAATGGTCACTAACTAAAACCAAGTGGCAAAATTACGCTAAATACTTCGACGTACAGACTTGATTTATAGCCAGCGACTGAAGCAAGCTACAAACGACCTATACCATATTCTCGGATTTGGGGATTTACAGCATCGCGTAATCAATAATTTACTGTTTACTGCAGAAGCCACATTTCAACGTGATATGCAAATTTGATTTCTGGCCATGTGTACTGTATTTACATGAGTTTTAGTTTTGATGAAACACGCATAACCTTAAATGATTGCTCCCATCTTCGTCCGAAGTGAAACCCTCAGTTTAAAACGTAACTCTAAAAAAACGGCGAGTGTAATTTTTGGAAAAAACGTCGCGTGTAATTATTGCATTGAAAAAACGTCGCGTGTATTAAATGTTGGATTGAAAAAACGTCGCGTGTAATTATTGCATCATAACTGAAAAAAACGTCGCGTGTAATACTCAAGAAAAAAACGGCGAGTGTAATTTTGAAGGAAAAAAAACGACGAGTGTGATGGTAAAAAAACGACGAGTGTTTACAGTCATGGCCCTTCTCGGCCATCGTAATTTTGGAATTTTCCGAGAGAACAGGCTACTTATGGAACACATCACACGATCGCATTACCGGTGTTTCATCCCTTCTATTAATATCTATTACCTCACCTTCCGCTCGCGCCCGCAATCCCTGCTGTTATTTTCGTTGGAACGTCATGTAATATTTTCGTTTTGTCAATTTATTCGCCATATTTGAACAATCTTTCGAAGCAATCATTCTGAGCATATATATTGATATATAAGCGCTCTGTTTGAAACTATTCAGTGCAAAGGCAAGCTCTTATGATTTATACAAGTAAGTGCAATAATTTAAATATATTACGTTATAATGTTTTATTCATATTACGTTTAATTAATGTTTTATTCATATTCATAACACAGCTCTTAGTTGGACCCCCTGTGTCATAGGTTTAAGTATAGGTTAAAGTTTACGTAAACGACCATAAATAAACACACATAAAAACACGATACGTTGTATTAATTGCCCCAAATAAACAACATTATTAATCACTACATTTGACAATTTCATGTAAATACAAGTTTGCATAAAAACATAGAATAGGAAGGTACACAGAATAGGAAGGTACACCGGAAGTCTCACTCAAGCAAGTATTTGTCCGCGTTTTTACAAGCAATTCGTCATCAATCACGCCATCCTGGCTAGTACAACCGGCACTTTGTACCTACCAAAACCTGATAAAGACTTCCGGCTGTACTAGCCAGGATAGCGTGAGCAAGTTAAAATTTTCGTGGACGTAAACACCGACTCAAGTTACACTTCTGCTGCACTTTCCTATTTTGTGACATAATGGGGGACAACTTTGCACTTCGCTATGTTCTCAAACACCCGGGTGTAAATAACCGTGCGGAATTGGTTCGGGGATTACATTCATAGTCGTTAAATTAATAAAACCATTAATAATAATAATAATAATAATAATAAATCAAAGTAGCGGTATATTAAAAAAATGTTTGATGTCAAAAAATACCTGTTTCTCTTTAATATTTCATAACAAGATGATAACAATTCTTGATTTCCTGAAAATGCATGGCAAATAATTATTCCTAATAAGCAGACGAGCCGCGGTCCTTCGACGGCATGCACGGGAGAAATTAATTAAATCGTGCAATAAAAACGCTTTGTATCTATTATCGTGGTGACAGTGGTAAACGACATCATTAGCGACAGTGGGACAGTCGAATGTGAATAACGTTATGCAAAGATAAAATATCACACTATACACCTGCAGTTACCTTTTAAAAAATTATTTTAATTAGTTGAAACAAGCAAGTACGGTGTTGGCTTGCTGACTTGTTTAAAAGATTGGCAAATCTTTTAAACATGCTTTTATTAATCTCAGTACCAGATCTCTGAACAAATCTGCGTGAACATTAACCGAAATTTTTTCAAAAAGGACAAGCATGCAGTTTACCTTAAATATATAGAAAAGGCACTTGGTTGGTTTATCGATCGAAAACCTAAACGCTCTGCGGGAGATTTAAATGCATTTCTGCCTTTCTCAAATTTGAATTAAAATACTTATATTATTGTTGTTCACATAAATCTTGAAAAAACTTACAGTTCCCTATATATTCTGTTTTCTGGTGCGCAGTACGAAGTTATCAGAATTATTTTCATCATATAACTAAAATTCAAGGCAGAATTTGCTAAAATTTCCGATGTGTTGTGAAAAGAAACTCTTTATATACTGCGAACAGCCATTTTTCACACACATCAAAACTCATCAGTCAGCAGAAGACAGTGGGGGCTAGCGGGTGCCTGGCCTCCTGGCAAAATATTGGACCCTTTTGGATAAATTCTGACCAGTACAAATATGTGCATTAGCTATAATATTATTTTTATTTCTTGTAATGGGAATCTTATATCTTCGGATGTTTTAAGTGTTGTGAATTCGTTTGTGCTTAAGTGGAGTTTTGTTAAATAGTTATTTAAAATCATCAAAACACATTAAAATAGCCCCCAAAATGCTGAAAATGTATGAATTTAATTATTTTCTGGCGGAGCATCCTCCGCAAAAAGTTCATTCTAGTATTACGCATGGATATTGTGGGAATCCAAAATACATTTTCACATAATTAACAAACTTCATTCGAACTCAACTATCACAGGGACCAGGGTAAAATTGCTTGGGTCCTTTCAGGTTATTTTTCCGGTCCCTCTTGATTAGAAATCTTGGCTATGGCATTGCGAACTTTCTACAAAAATATGCGCAGTAAATTACGATAGATCATCTGTAATAATGCCACCAACCTCGTACAAAGGTTCTCAATCTTCGCTCCTACCTCGCTTGAATTGAGACCCTGGGATCGGCTGGTCACGTAACCCGTTATATTTGGTGGATTTGCTCAATTGTGAAAAATTGGGGAAAAATTTGCTCAATAAGTGAAAAATTGTTGCCCACCCACATTTTGTAATTGAAGAAAAATAAAACAATTAAAAGTCAACCACAAACGTTTTCATTTCCAAGAAGTATATTTCTAAAATGATTTTAATTTATCCGTAGAGATTGTATAAGTTTCCAAATATTCTTATGCGATTGTAACAAAATTAGTATGGGATTCTTTTGACTTACTTCTTGGTAACTGTTGTGTTATTTCAGCCGGAGCGTTTGATGGAATAGGATCTGGCGTTTTCTAGACATAAAAAGAGATTATGCATTTTGCCACAATACCAAGTATTATCCAAATATTAACATAATTAGGATTATAGGAATAATGTTTAATTATGCTGATACATTTGGTGGCGTCGAATTATAACTACCTACTGATTATTCGACAATTTTGGACAGAACCAGTTGAGACAACTTTCAATTTCTTTTGTACAAAATTCGCATACCACTGTGGGAAAACGCCTTTACCAAAAAGGTTAATTGCTCAATCCAAACGTCAGCTCCACAACTCATTGTCGATTTTATGTCATGATAAATTACTAAAAGTTGTTACGAGGCTGTTCGCAACATTCAAATGTAAGAGAGATATCAAATTTAACTTGTCGATATATTTTATCTTATTAATATTTCGTACGATGCTCTGAAGCATTTTGTTCAAGATTGTGAATTAAAGAAAATCACAACTAGTGCCGTGCCGTAACTTAAATTAATCGCCATGGAAATTCATCAGTGCTAAACAAAGCCGTATTTTATATGCACTTCCTCCTCTTGAAATTCTTAAAAGCAGACAATTTTAAGAAATATAAAAAAAAATACTCCAAATAATAATGGCACGATCTATTGCGGTGATATTTCGACTCTATTTCAAGGTCATTGTCAAACCAATCTAATTATTTACTTGCTTGAAACTTTATACAGATTTTCAAAAGGGGGCTGAGTTTGAATCAACTAGGAAAGACCCTGGAATCGGCTGGTCACGTGCCTCGTCCAAAATTGATTGCCCGAGGGGGTGTGGTGAAAGCATCAAATTACAAACAGTTAAAAACACAAATTTTGCGAACAATTACCAGTAAGTTCAAAATACTTGCTAATTTTTGTTTATTTTATTTGCTTTGAATTTACAAGAACATTCCTACATTTTTACCAACAATCAGGTCAAGAAACCAAGTAAATCGTTACTCGTAGTGCTCTCTCGTGTTATTATTATTCAATGCCGGCTCTCTTGACACTCGAGCGCGGTTTTATAACAAACGTTTATGGGCTTTTCAGTGGTCAGCATTCTACATATGTAATGTTTTTAAAACACGCATTAGATTTGTCTTAATTTTGTAAACGTTGCTATGCTTTGCACGTCTTGTTTATAAGATTTTTAAAAGAAACAGTATTGTATTTTATTGTCTAGGACTAGAAAGTAGAGCCCATTATCAGCAAATGTAAACAAACAGAGAAATGTCTGTCAGTGATTTATCTTTAAAATTTTGGATTTAGTACATAATTCGTATTCATTAATTATAGTAAGGCTTTAGCCTTTTTCTTGGTCAGATAATGTTTTCCTAATATGCACACAACTAGGCTATAATCTACATCACAAATTTACAGTGTCAGACGCGCGCAGACTGCCATACGAATACACATAAATTTTCGAGTTTTCTACTTCTACTAAGGCTACTAACAGTTTTCATTGTGTCTCAATCACCTGTTTATTTCTCGTTCAATAAGTTCATTTATATTTCTATATTTATTGGATAGTGGCATATATAGTGATACATGTAGGCTATTTACACACAATCAATCCTGGATATGATAGAGACGATACAAGCTGTCCATTAAAAAATAACGGTATTCTATTTCACAAAGCAAAAAAGTTAAATCTCACTTGTATTATTAAGAATATATATAAAGCAGAAAATTAAAGCTTGTGTCAAAACGAAAGCTGTTTATAAAATTTATAAATATGGTATAAACACAGTTTGTGTCAAAACGAAAGCTGTTTATAAAATTTATAAATGTGGTAGGCTATAAACACAGTAGTAAACAGTAAGACAAATATATTGTCGTTTGACTTATCTTTGATGTATGACTTTACTGTAATACCGTAGATTTTCAACAGACAGCTAGACTTTGACATATACCATGATCGTTGAGATCTTGCAGGAAATTTTATAGTCTTTTGACGGGATTTAAGTTTTGTGATAAGGCCTTTATAATCAACAATCTCGACACAGCTGCCGTCTTGGCGATATTTCGGAAATCAAAAGATCTCGCTATTTCGTTTCAATTCCACATCTCATCAATAAATATATTCTTTTGCTCCGAGTATCAGGATATACTTTAATACTAACAGTTAAATAAATATAAACCACATTGGTCGGTCTAGAGATATGAATTTTCTTGTAGGCTTATTGCCACGCCGCCTAGGCGTGCTTTCTTTGTAAGTTGAAATCTGATCCAACTTGCTTGAATTGTAACTCGACACTAGATTATAGGGCAGAAAGTCACATGACGATAAATATTAATTTTTAATTGCAGTTCTCTTCACGATTTCTTGTTGCAAATTTAAATTTCATCACACAAAATTGCAAATATTGTTACAAACGCGACAAACACGCTCCTCTCCCACCCTGCCCATAGTATCATTTAATTTATCACCCAGAATCTGGGTGACACGTGACTAGCTGAAACCAGGAACTTTCCTTCGCCTCGCGCCGTTCTAAGAAAGACCCTGGGAACGAGGTTGGTCCTCTGGGAGGAGTCAAACTATTCATATATACTCACCCTTTTGGGTTGAAGAAGTATGTAGTAATCATAATTTTCATCTTTCTTCAAGCTCTGTGCCGGTTCTTCATAGTCAACGGTTTTGAGTAATTCACAATTTTCGTCAGAAATTGGGCTTTTTCTGAAGTTGATAGATCTACACGATTCGTCTTTAATCATACAAAAGTAGATACACTCCAATCCAGACTTAGCTTGAATATATTTTATCACCTCACTTTTCAAACGGTAACCTTTAGAATGATGAAAATGCAGAGGGTATAAAAAAGCATGAAATAAATATAACTGGAACGCTACCTTTTTCTTGAGGTCAAATCTGACCCCCAAACACGCGATTCTCTCACGCCGAGACCCTTGCAGGGAGCGAGCATGCCGTTTTAATAAGGAACTATACTAAAAGTAAAATCTATACAAAAGAGTTTTATAATATAATGCATTAATAGAACGTTTTCAGCGCTGTTAAATCTTTTGTTTGTAAATTTCAAACTGGTTTTCAAGAATATATATTCATGTTGACGGACTGACTGTGCTCTTCGCATGCGTTAGTGCGTGCTCTTCCCTCGCTTCCCATGCAGCAAGACTGCTTGGGGCTGACCTTCAAGTTTGGCTTCAAATTTTCGTTTGGAGGTAGCTTTCCAGTTATATTTATGTTTTCGAAACCCACCTTCCTTCGATCCATCATAACAAAAGCTGATCTCTTTAATCTCCTCTCCAAACGATTGTACGTTAATAACAAACAACAACCAGAATCTCAGAAGGAAAGGAATAAAACACGCAACTTCCAACTTCAATTGTTTGCAAAACTTGCGGCAAATTTCTTTTCCCATGTTTTGTTGAGTAGGTGTCGTTGCTGTTTGGGTTATATCTGTCGTATATGCTTTGGAACAAATTCGCTGTATGTAGATTCAATATCAGTTTTCAATACCACTGCTGCATGTGCAGAATGTATCCCGAGTCGAAAAAAAAACGCATTCGTGCATCCATATAGGTCTGCATCAACATATGTATGTGCATACGTATTGCTATTGTGGCTAACTCAGTTAAACTTTCTTCATAATTAAAGCTAGCAATTCCAATTTCAATACCTTTTCATTATTTTCCCAAAAGCAATAATGAAGTCGATGATGAATATAAATATTGTAAAATACATTTATAATTAAGCATTTGTAAATTCTGAACGTTGATTCGCTAAGAGCCGTGTTGATATAACAAGTTGTCAACAGGGAAGCGTCGGAAAATTTACTTGTTTATATTTATTTGTGCTATATTATAAAACAAATATAAAACTTTTTCTACAACTGTATATCAACACGGAAAGTGTTTTATATTTGTTAAATGTTAATGACTGAGCGAGAGGTCAAGACTTTAGGATATTAGTCAAGACCGAACAATTTCAGTCAATAAATTAATTATATATGGCTAAAAGTTAAAACAAGAGCATTCTTCGAAAAACAATGTTAATAAAGTTGTTCACAACACTAGCTACAGTATATTTGAAGTTTTGCATTTGAGTGAACATTTAAAATGCACGATTTGAAATTTATGTAAACAATATTTGTGAACTGACAAAACGATAACAATACATTTTTAGATATTAGTAGAGTAAAAGTCGAAAACAGAGCAGGTTGTAATAGTCCTGTTTCACTTTCGTTCGCCGAAAAAATTGTTCAATGCATGGCGGCCAGTACAGATATCACCCTGTCAGCATTTTCAGTATTATAAAAAGTTATTATACTCATGTAATTTGGTCTTAACATAACAAGAGTATAGAATGGTGAGTTATTTTATATAAAAAACTACCAGGGTCGCATATTATATAGTCTTTTTACTGAGAAAACTTAAGTTAAGCTACATTTACACGCTGCGATTTGTCGGGCCGATTTTGGTAAATAATCGATGCTCCTTCTTCCACATTTAGCGATTTAAGCGTTCAATTGAAGCCGTCCGCTCTCTCGTCTGTTCGTATTATAGTTTTCTGCGTGCGAAAAGTTTTCAACAACTTTACAACGGAAGAAAAATCGTTGAATCGTGAGAAAAATCTGTGTTAGTGTTACAGATTTTTCTCCTGATTTTGTGAATTGCAAGGTGCTGACGCGAGTACTAACGACAGGTTATTTACATACAGCGAGCAAAATCGGCCCGACAAATCGCAGCGTGTAAACGTACCTTTAACGATGTTTTCTTCACGAGCGCTCCATCTTAGCGATCCATACAATGTTCATGAGATAAGCAAGCGATCCGTACTTCAGGTGACCCACCGCACAGGAACATGGCAATACGTTGCATTTTAATGCACATGGACTGATGTCTTGCCATATAATGATATACTGCTATCATAACATTGTTTATGCAGCACTTCTTGCTTTATAAAGAAAATAATAACTTCTTCTAGCTGTACAGAGAAATATCGGACCGAGATATTTTTTGTATATACCGAGCCCGCAGGGCGAGGTTGGTACAAAAACAGCGAGATCCAACATTTCTCTGTGCATACCGAGCAAGCGAGGTTAATAAAAAGTTTATTATATCCCATTTATGCTTGAAACAAACAAGAAGTGCATGATTTGAAATGCATAGAAGAAAACAAAAGGTGGAAGAAAACTTGGTAGAAGAAAACAAAAATAACAATGTATTCCTTCTTTTCCACTAATTCATAACAAATTGAGTTACAATACTTATTCATAACAAATTAAATTATAATAATTTTCAAATTTTCAATTGGTTTTGCTGGGTTTTTTAAAATGCATGCGTTTGTTTTTACGTAATGGACCGCCGGTTACGCGAAAATAATGGACCGCTGAAAGTGCTTCTCAGCCAATCACATGCAGTCCGCCATTTCACTGGAAGTGATGCTTGCCATATTATAATATTTCATAACAAAAAGAAGTTTAATCAAGTGTTTGGAAATTAAAAGTTTACAAATCTATCATCGCGTGCTATTCCGCTAGTAAAGGAATGGTAAGAATTTAGATATTTTGTTTCCCAAGCAAGAAACGAAGAGTCGTTCCATTGTTGTTTACCTGCAATTTGTATTTTTCTAAATATTTTGCGTTTTATTTGTTCAGGACATATTGCATGAGCCAATATTCACTCAAAATAAAGTCAATTCTCATAAGTGAGAAACGTTCCTATAATGAGCCTACATTCGTATTATGAACCGACGTAAAAAGAATACGAACATGCATGACCGACATTTCGTGGGAATCCTTTTCTTACGAACAGAACATGTCCTGGGAATCCTAGAACAGAATAGCACGCAAAGACCCGGACAACGTTTTGATATATGGCAAAAAATTACAACATAGGTCAGTGCAAGCAATGTCTTTCAATGCAGGTCTGACAGATATACAATGCCTAATATTTATAGCTTAAAATATATATATGTTATTTACCGGATTGGAGGTCCGTATAGAGAAATATTTCTCGAGGTCTTAAAAACGGCCCGAGGCCGAAGGCCGCTTTTAAGACCGAGAGAAATATTTCTCTATACGGACCGACCATACCGGTAAATAATATTTTTTTTTTTTTTTTAATTCCTCCCCTGGATTTCCCCAATCACTCCTCCCGCACGCGAATGAAGCTGCCAAATAAAACGTCGTTTCTATCAATGCTCTCGGGAAGAAAAATACCTTATGTGAGATAGTAAAATTCGTTTTCACTGTGATTTTCATCGTCTGCAGACATTTTAATGTTTTAAAAAGTAGCCTTTAAACTCGTCTTTAAATTTTGAAAAATAAAAACATTGGCTCTACGGCTTTGAATCTCGCGCGGTCCGTAGGGGCTCATACGGACCGCTCGCGTAGCCAATCAGATTGCAGAAAAGCGTAAAATATGACTTCGGACCGCAAGAAAAAAAATAAAAGTACTTATTGACAAATCTAGAGCCGAAGTAAGCCTTGTTTCGGGGCCAGGCCGGACATTCCAAGTTCTAGCAAGATAATAACGAAATAAAGGTTTGATGAGTGTTTCAAATATAAGTTCTTTGTAGTAATAAATTTACGTGGTGTTTCCACAAACAAAATATTATGTTTCAAATATGTTCAGTTCAATCATGGATTGTAAAATAACTGGATAGGAAACTTCCTGACGTCACAGTCTAAACCTAGTTGCAATCTCTGACGTCACGTGTATTGCCAAAGTTCTCAGCAGTTTTGTTGTTTCGCTATATTTTCCGCTTTAAAAGAGTAATATTGAAGCATAAACTGGTTTGTTTTAAAAACATGCCTAAGCCACGACAAAGTGTTCAAGGTAAATGTTTTTCGTCTTTGTTTTGTATTTTTCAGCATTTGTGGCTACGAAATTGGCGTCGCCAATTTTTACGAAATTTGCGATGCATTTTTCACTGCTTAGTGCTTGTAATATTTGCTAAACTTGACCGGGAATACTTAGAGATTTCATCGTAGAATGGCCTAGTTATATTTATTTGCTCTTTGACTAAAATGTTTAGCTGTATATTATCGCTAAACATGCCGTTTTTGAGAATTTGGTTTGCAACTGAGTTCCCATTGAAAACATTAGGTCACGTCAGCTAGTTTCTTATCCTTGTATTTTATTATCCATGGTTTAACTTAACCATATAGAATACGTTATAGTGTTGGAAAAGCATTAAGAACAGCTAACCAAGGTCACATAACTACCAACCATCATGCACTCCATTCTCATTTGATCCAGGCTTCAATCCTTTTCTGGCCATTAATCGAGCCCACACGAGCTGCACAATAGGCGTATAGACGCGCGATTGTACGACGAGAATTAAGGGGCCGATTACATGGAGCATTTTCAACCCCGGGGCTGAACTCAGCCCTGTTTACCGGGTTGAAATTTCAGCCCTGTCTGTAATACAAAACTCTATCAAAATCAAACGCGCGATTACATGACAAAATTTTCAACCCAGGGCTGAATTCAACCCCGGTGTTGAACTCAGCCCTGGGTTGAAAATTTTGTTATGTAATCATTTCAACCCAGGGCTGAAATTATCATGAGTTATTCGAGCATACGTGGTAGTGACTATTTATTACAAGAAAACCGGCAAAATAAAGGCTTTTTTACTTCCGAGAATCGATGCCGAGATTAACGTATAGTATAGCGTTTCAACCCCGGGGTTGAAATCGTCCATGTAATCGCAAAAAATTTCAACCCGGTTAACAGGGCTGAGTTCAACCCCCGGGGTTGAAAGTTGTCCATGTAATCGGCCCCTAAGTACTTGGTGCAGAGGCGCCGGAGTATCGATAATTGCGGGGGCAGATATTCATATATTCGTGTTCACATACTGTAAAAACAATCGATTTCAAAAGAAATTAATTGGGCAGAACACGAATATATGAATATCTGCCCCCCTCCCCCCCAATTATCGATATTCCGGCGCCTCTGACTTGGTGTACGGGAAGTTTCAAACTAAACGTACGATAACATATACAGGGGCATGTATGGTCAGCCCCAAACGAGTGGAGGGTTTAATTCGATCTGCTGGGGGCATGGTCCCCTGCAAAAAGTTTTTATATTTAGTGTCTACGAAACGTTATTTCATGCTTTTTAGTCACGTTTTATAATGATCTCATGAAATCCACAGATTTGGTATATTTTATGTCATATACGGAAACATTAAGAGCTTATATACGCCCCCTTCCCAACTTTTTCACAGTTTTCAAAGAATTACAAAGTTGGTCCTGAAGAAAAGGGGGTGGGGACGTGGGAAGCGGCCGACCAACGCACCAACCAATTCCCACCTGTGACTACGCCTCTGATAACTTAATATAGTTCCTTTGTTTTGTCTGAAAATCCTTTAGTATACAGGGTGTATCAAAAAAAAGTAATCGTACTTCAGCGT